AAAAAAAAAAAAAAAAAAAAAAAAAAAAATACATTATTTAAAAATTTTAATATCTTTGAAATCTTGTTGATTAAATTTTACTGATACATTACTTTCTAAATCGGCATCTTTATTTATATTAAAATATTTATAAGAAACAGAACGAGAAATGAAATCACATTTCTTAGGTAGCAAAAATAGAATAAAAGTGAGTAAATTAACTACTAAAATTAAATATAAAAATATATTTTTTGAATACAATAACCTAAAAAAAAAATATATATATATATTTATATATATATATATATATATATATATATATATTTATATATTTTTTTTATAATTAAATATTCGAAAGACATTTTCTTATTTAAAAAAAAAATCTTTCATATAATTCATAAAAAATAATATTAACATATGTTACCCAAAGAAGCCAAGATTTTTTAGAGTTAGATTAAAAAAGGAACTTGCATAAGTATAACTTGAGTATAAATAAAATATTTTCTGTAAAGTGTATTAATTAAAAAAATTAAAATATAAAATTAAATATTTTCTATTAAAAAATAGTGAAACAAAATATGTAAAAATTATTGAATAATAATATATTATCAAAAATGAGTAAATGAATATATATTCATAAAATAGACACGTTTTAAATTTTTCACTATTTTTTTTTTTTACTGTTGAAAATTCTGCTGCTCCTGAAGCAACAAAAAAAAAAAGGCATATATTCAAAAGTAAAGAATTTAAATATGTATCTTTTTTTTGTAAAGCAAAAATTAATCCTAAATTAAACTATTAAAAAAAAAAATTAAATTGATGTTACAAAATGTATCATTATTAATTAAAAATGCATTTCATTACATATATATTTATATATTATTTATATTTTATTTATATATTATTTATATTTTATTTATATTTTATTTATATTTTATTTATATTTTATTTTTTTTTTACTTTTGAACAAAAATAAATAAAACCAGATAATGCACAAATAAGCAAATAAGAATTTATCACTGTATAGGTTATCAATGAAAGTATAATTAAGTTATGTTTTACAAGTAACTATAAAAAGAAATTAAAATAAAATAGGAATAAAATAAAAATATTTACATAACATATTAAAAATAAGCTAGTAAGAAACAAAAAGAATATATATTTTCACCTAATTTTTAACTTACTACTAAAAATGTATCCAAAATTCTTAAGTTATCAAAAATATTATTATTTGTATTAAGAGAATTTAATAAAATATAAAAAATAATATGCATAATTATAGATATACTTAGGATTAAAAATATTATTCCTAATAATAATGTAAAAAAAGATAATATTCTTTTATTTGGATTATTATAAGATTCTAGTAAATTTTCATAATCTTTTTCTAATTTATATACTATATAGTTAAGAATTTTTTTTTCTCTATTATGTTTCATATATTTAAAAAATGACTTCATATAGTTCATTTTTTCCAGTTCTTCCTTTTCTTTTTGTAATCTTTCAGTTGTATATATTAATACTTTTGCTTTCCTATTAATTGATGATAATTCTCTTTTAAAATCTGCTTCTTTAATTTTTTTTTTTCTTTGCATAAATAACTTAACGTAATTCAAAGGAAATGTAATTAATCCAATTCCACAATAAAAAGAAAATAAAATATACCCAAGAAAAGACATAAATATAGTAATATAATCATTAAAACTTAATTCTATATTTATTTTAATTTTTGTTTTTTTTATGTTTTCACAATGATCAATATTTCTTATATTATATTTAAAAAAATTTTGTTTATATATATCTTTAATATATGAATACCATAATTTACAATCTTCTGCACCTAAACTTAATTTTAATTTTCTAAATGGTATATAAGTTAAAAAAATTAAGCAAAATGATAGTACAAAAAAAAATAGGGAAAATAGAAATACTTTTATAAAAAAAATTTTTAATTTTTTTTTAATTTCATTATTTTCCTTAAATTTTATAATTCCTTTAGTGCTTTTATTATTATTGCAACTTAATTTATCTGATTCTATATAAATAATTGTCAAAATAGGAGTTAAAAGAAAAATGTATGATAAACATAACCAGTAAAATATTCTATATAATACAAATATATTTAAATATTTTTTTAATTCTGATGATAAGTTATAATAAACATCAACTGGTAGTAATATTAAGATTGTCCAACCTAATATGAATCCAATAATAATAAAAAATTTTATTAAAAAATAAATAAAACGTTTTTTTTCTTCTTTATGACTATATATCATTAATAACCGTAATCCTATTATACCTGATATTGTTAAGTATCCAATGAAAAATATTAATAATATATAATGATCCATTATTGTTATTTTGAAAAATTTAAAAAAAACATAACAAAACAAAGTATAACCAAATATTATTCTTCTTTATGAAATTTTTCCTCTATAAGATAATTTTTTTTTTTTTTTTTTTAATTAAAATTTTTTCTTGATTTTCATAATTTTAATAAGCATTGAATGAATAAAATAAAAAAAAAGAAAATGCATTCTACACAAACAAGAAATAATAAAAAAAAAAAAAAAATACATAAATATTATAGGAAGAAAATTAATATATTATACATAAATAGCATATCTCATTTTCCATTGAAATATTCGTATACAATTATAGATTTTTTCAGTTAACAGTTTTTTTTTTTTTTTTTTTTTTTTTTTTTTTT